TATATATATATATATATATATATATATATATATATATATATATATATATATATAATATTTTATATTATTTTTATAAATTACTTTTGTAAATGATTTAACGGAAGTATTAATTTTTACTTTGATTAAGAAAGTTGATCCAAGATTTCTTATAGATCTTTTATATTAAAAGCCTATCATTGTAGCAATAAATTATTTCGCACCTTGACATGACTGGGCCAACAGTGACCAGATTGCTTGAAATGTAACTCACTAGAAAATCGCAACGTAATATGGTAGCTGTAGACTATTCTTATAAATCCCTGCCGCTAAAGCAGAAGAAATTTGCGGTATGTAACGTTCACTTTAGACCGCCGCGAAAAAATTGCGAAAGTATAAAGCACGCAATACAACATTTTGAGTACATAACGGATATGCGTTCTCGGAGGTTTAATGAGGTCTATGCAATCACTCGAGCAGCACCCAGAGTATTAAATGTGATAATTCTACCTTTCTTCTTTCTTCTTGTTTCACACTTCGAAGCATAAATCATATGCGTACTACATGCGCGTATTCGTATCATACGCTTTCCTAAAATAAATTCATAAATTCATCTTTAAGATTAATCGTGAAAATTACGTTATTTTCGGCAACAAACTAATGTGGACAAATATATAAGAGATTGTTAATTAAATAAATCTTAAATAAAGTAATGTGAATATACAATAATCTTCACTCATTAAGTTTATTTTTATACTTTTCATCAAATATTAGTTTATTATCTGAGATATTTAATATAGTGAAAATCATTTTATTAGATTTATATCATTTAAAGGAAAAATAAATACAACAAAATTATTTTTGTATAAATATCTAGAATCTAGAATCAAAATGAGTTAGACAAGTTAGACTCTTTCCCGTTAAAACCTTTCAAGTTTTCTATAGTAAAGGAGCGGTGATATCTAACCATTTAAGGAATATAATAACGATTTGTATGCCTGTGCGTATGCCAAAGAATGACAATCGTTTTCTGAGAAGTAAGCAAACTGTCCATAAGAATTTTGCAGGTACCGTTTATTAATAAATGATATGGTAAACAACGTTCCAGATGGGCTTGGTAACTCCTAGCTATCCAAGACAATCAATTTTTCCATGTTACATATATTTTTCTAGATTCCTAATAGTACTTGTCCTGTGCTGACATTCCAATAATTTTGACATATAAGAACACGATTGCCATAGTAATCGTCAGGGAAAAATTATCGGTACATTTTCTGATCCAACGTAAATGTTCCCTGAATTGTCGCAAATTGTTGGGTGAGTGCGAGCGACTTTCTTGAAACAACAACTATCTCAATTTCGACTGAAAATGGGCTAACTATGGCGTTACAGAAACGCACAATAATGGTCTTCGTATAAATTCACTTACCGTAACGTTATATTCGCACTTGCAAATGTATACTATTTCTTATTTTCGGTACATCCAAGACTTCCAAAATCATATTTTTTTCTAACTTTATACACATCAAGCAATTATCCCTAAAAAATGTCTATATAATTTAAAAGATTCTTTTATCTTTTATCTTTATATTTTTATATTTTTACTTTAGAAAGATTACTATTTTGATATTAAATACTATTTTGATATTTGAAAAATAATTAATCTATGTATTACAAATTTTGAAAATTTATTACATCCTTTTTCTGTCTCTCTTCATCTGCCTTTTTAATAAATTGCGAGATTAATATAATTTTTTATGTTAATGTCCCAAATATAGCGCAATATTGCGGTTTCAGTTAATGGCTGTTAGTTTAACAGGAAACACAGATTATATTACGGGTTCTTCCGATCGAGGTCTAATCGAATAAAAAACGCAACGACAAAAATCGCAACGTCAGAATGAGTGCACGAATAAGTCCGAGTAAATCCAATTTGTAAATTTCAAACAAGACCTTTTTTATCCCTATAATTTTCAATTTAATTAACAACAGAAGGCTAAAATGTAAAATGATTTTCAGAATAGTTCCGCTGTTTTTTTTGGTATCGATATTTACGATCGAGTAAAGCCGACGCCCACCACTCTAATTCGATCTGTCGCGCATAGTTTCAGAATCGAGAACAGAATCAGCACGATGTGTTCGAGATTATTATAACGAAAGGAAGGCACCGCGTGAAAAGGAAGCAACAAATCGCGAAATAGCTGCCTCTGAAAGAAGGCTAGCCCGTTCTAACTCGGCACACCTGTTGCATGGACATGCAAGCGCGTCATATCGAAACGTGCACGCGTTCGTCGTGTTGCGCATACGCACACGCGTACGCAACGATAAGACCCCATCGAGTCGCTCGTGAAAATCGACTGCGTACTTTCACATCAGCAGATCCGTCTGAAGCGCCGTTGCTCGAGCGTGGCGCGCGAAAATCGGATCTCCTACGAGCTAGCTAAACTGGACTGATTTAAAGTAGGACTCCCGTCTCGTTTCGCCTCGCCTGCAATAACAATTTTCGTGATATACTTATTGACGAACTTTTCAATTTGTAATTTCTACTTGTGCTCCATTCGTAAACTTCGCGAATACAATTTGTGCCGTCGCTCTCTTGGTTTCGTTCTTGAAATCGAAAGTGACTTCAACGCTGGGCGATCGGGCGCCAATGGTACGAGCGATTGTCGATCCGGATAATTAACGGATATGTTCTGGTTGATCGATCTAATCGATCTAATCGAAATCCTTTTGTCGCAACATTTACCTTTAATTTCAATTTAATTCTTGACCCTTGTAAGACGATTATTAGTCTTTTTGCGAGATAGTACAAGAGCGATTTCTAGGTCATAAATGCCGGATCACATAAATGCCTTATATTACGTGTTCTATTATACATTATAGCCAAAATGCTTATAATGCTATTTTTATAAAATAATTAAATAAAAATAATCACAAAGTAGAGGCTTTTTATATCAATGTTTTTATAATTTTATAAATTTATAGTAAAGAAACTGTAATTTTTTACAAATATATTTAACCGTGCAAAAAGCTGGATAATTTATAAATTTTTAATTTTTATCGTAAGTCATTTTATTATTATACAATATAAAACTAAAAGTGAAAATATAATGCGGAGAAAATCTTCATGAAAGCTGTAACATCGATGAACGTATAAAAAGTAATGATGCACGAAAAATAATTGGATTGTTAAAGATCGATCACATACGCATTGACTGTAATCGCCATTGACACGATTGAATTGGCGTTGACGCGATCAGCCTTCGCTCTCATTCATCATCCCGTACCCGTTTATTGGTAATGTTTTTTTCCATAAATTTGACTCAGATGCGAATTCTCCGCTCTATTTGACGCTCCCTCTCGCCACTGCTGCTGGACGGCTGCGAGAGGCCCCTGCCTCCTCTTCAACGTCCGCAAAGAAGAGAGTTCCGTCGCCGGTGCTCTCGACTACGGAGAATGTATGAAACGACCGAAAGGCAAAAAGGAAAAAGGACTATTGACTCGCTCTATATATACTGCAAGTATCCGAGGGTATACCCAGTGCACGATACGCGTTTCATCCGTCAGCTTCAAGGTCCTTCGTCTTCGAGGATATCGTCGCGCTACTGGCGATCCGTAGACCAGGGACACAAAAAAATATCTACACAAACTTTTCCTTCTCCAGTCAGACTTCAGAGAAAAATCGCGATGAAAGGAATTACGCACGTCGCCCAATTGTCACGTCATCATCATCATCTCCTTCTTTTGGTACTTCTTCTTACGGGATGTGCCAACGCGGAGATCGAGAGACGCACCACGAGACAAATGATAGAAGAAGCGCCGGAAAATCTGGAATCTAATCTGAACAAAGATTGCGGGAAGTCATATAGTGCCACGTGCCTCAAGTTGGACGTGGTGTCCTTCCTGGATAAATTATCAGAGCAGGAGAACATTGGTATCCTACCAGGTGTGTCTGTGATCAAGGAGAATGGTTCCACGGACGTCCCGTCATCGGAGGTGGTTGCTAATTTGGCGAGGGATTTCCCGAACGACGTTGAGAAAAGGCTGGACGCCTATTTGATTCACAAGATTGGCAGTTATATCAACAGTCACTCGATCTCCGTTAAACTTTTTGATCCGAAGACTTTTGAAGCTGCCAGGAGCTTTAGCGAAGAAATGCTTGCACAGCTCGGCTGGGGTGGCAATCAAAATGTTGAAACAGGTTAGAATATTAAATTTCACTGTTTATCAAAACTATAGGTACAATTGCACAATAGCAATATATAGCTAATATCCTCGCGTGATTAACCGTACAATTTGCAAGACAATTTATTTTATAATTTGATACAATTTTTTTTTTAAATATATTGTCTCAGATCACTAAGTATAATTACTCTCATCATTATCGTTACGTATGCGTTTCAAGAAAATAATGACTGGGGTATCTTTAACAGGACGTAAAAAGGACAAGGGCGGTAACGGAGGCCTAATGGCCGGTTTGCTGATGATGAAGGGAACCATCGGCGCGATGGCGTTGGGAGGACTAGCACTAATAGCCGGAAAAGCTCTGATGACCGGTCTCATGGCACTCATGTTATCGGCTATCATCGGATTGAAATCCCTAGCGCACAGCGATAAGAAGACCACGTACGAAATCGTTAGTAAACCAGTATATTCCAGCTCGCATACGCACAGCTCGGAGGAACATCACGGACACGGATATGGACACTCTGGATATGGAAGGTCCCTCGATTCCGTTCACGATTCTCTTCAGCAGGCCGTACTGAAGTACGGCAATGCGCGCGACCGCAGATCGCTTCTGCAGAATTAAACTCAACTCTATTCAACTTCGACGAGGTGTTTGTTGACACGAAACGCCGGTACACGATAAAATGCCTTTAGCACATCTCTACCTCACTGACTTTCCTTGTTGTTTCTTTTCTTTCATCCTCAAGCACTATCGACTCCTCCCTCATCGGTCTCTCTCTCTCTCTCTCTACTTCCTCTCTTCATCTCGCTCTGTCTCACTTCATCTCATCTGTTTTTCCTCCTTGTCATCGTGACTTTCTACCTTCCAAGATCTCGTTCATCTTTATTTCATTGGGCCACAGATTATCATCCTTGTTATTATTATAGTCACATAGGTATTTATTGCGGCCGCTGTTGCATTTCCGATTGATACCCGACATCGAGAAAGCGTATCATCGCCGAGCACACAGAGTTGCCCAAGATCATGTACATGATTTTTGGATATTTATTTCGTTACTGTAAAGTTGTAATAATAAAGAACGTTTGTAAAAACATATGGCGTTGTCATTATTACAATAATTGTGTCAATTAAGAAATTATACGATAAATCGCAGAATAGTTCATCACGATATAGTTCATCATTAATAATATAAGCTCCTATCTTAATGTTTAGATAGATAGTCAGAGATTTGTTAATTTAAATGAGGGAATTACGTTGAACTCTTCTAATTACCTGGCGTAAATGCGTCTTATACAAGTGCATCACGCGCTGAAAAGTGCACGTGCCTTCTGTTACGGTAATTATGTTTACGTTACTGTTAAACATAGATATCTCCGAAGGTGAATGTACGGACCAATTAAGAAGTAATAAGGCCAGCACCTTCACCATGTTATACCATCAGGCTCGCTTCTGCATCGAATCATAAAGTGTTGCGATCTTCAAGGCGCGTGTATCCTACACATTAATATTTATACATATGTATATGTACACAATGTTTTAAATATGCAAAATAAATTATAATTATTGCCCTAATTATATATATTTATAGAGAATAATATTTTATTTTTATAATAAAACTATTAATAGAATATGAGAAGAATGCGATATTTTTTTGTCAATATAATATAAGGAAAAAGAATTTATATTATATTTCACATAAAAAATTATTAAGAAACTCGACAATTTTTCTTTAACAAATAAAAAATGTAAAATTAATCGAATAAAACATTTCTATAAATTAAACAAGATTTTAATAAATAATTGTTAAATATATTCTCATTACAAATTTATATCTGTATTTAATGAAATGAATTTTTTAAAAACTTCTTTATAACTTTGCACTAAGTCTATAATTAATTTGTAAGTAGCACAAATTGTCTCATTCTGTGAATATTTTTATAAGCGTGTCATTTTTATAAGCATACTTATTATAATAACTTATTATAGTAACTTGCAATGCAGCATCTAGAAACATTTGTTTTAACTGTCGCGTACGCCATCCATTGTGGCTGAGACTCAATAAATGATTCTAATTCAACTTTTCAGCCTTATTATTAGGAGACTATTTGTCTCGGTGCATGTAATGACAATCGTGACAAGATTTCGAGAGAATACCGCGAATGACATAAATCTCGATGTATATAAACGATCGCGGTGACCCAGAGATCAGTCAGTGTTAGCCGATATTTCTGCTAAAATCATCTCTGTTGTCATTGTCATCGGAAGTGATTGGCATTTATTTTTTATTGTGTAAAAGTGTGTGAACCTATGCTCGTTCTTTGGTTGTTGATCACGTGTGTGATCCACGCGAATGCACGCTATGAGAAGAATGAGCCTCGGAACATCAAGGATTATATCCTTGATACTGGATTACACGGGATACCAGTTGAACGTCGAATATTCCATTTCAGAAAAAATGGTTTTAAGATCGACTTAAAGGCGGTCCCTTTGGCTAGGAACGATACTGTAAAAAACAATGATGACGATCATTTTCCAGAGTTTCCCGTAAAAGATATAAGCAAATGTATTATTGAATTTTCGCTAAGTTGTATCAAAAAACGTTTCATCCGTTTCGTGGAAACGATAAGACGTCTCGATAAAATCATATTATTCGGAGAAAATGTGAAGTTGGTGAAGAGCGCAGCAATACGTAGATCCGATGCTCAAGCTGTGAATAATTCGGATGTTAGTATTGAGCGTAGCTTAGATGATTTCTTCGATTCTTTCACTTTGCGTATCACGCTGCCTAGATGGAACGATAAGCCAGAAAGAAATCAAATAGATGTGACGCTTGACGACACAGCTGTAGTAGAAGGTTAGCGCATTACAACAAAAGTACAGACATAATTAAAAGATATCTTAAAGATATTAAAAGACACAGTCGAAGTTCTAAAATATTTTCAGAATTTCTGTTCAAGAAGATATTTTTATATATTATTAAATTATTAAGTGTGATTTCTTACAGGACGTGGAAAGAAAGGTGGTGGAGGTGGAGGCAAGGGAGGCGGAAAAGGATGCAAGCTGATGATGATGGGCATGTTAATGGGACTTAAATTGAAGCTAATAGGTAATGATGTTGCACCAGTTTTGTGTTTTCTTGTACAAATGTATTTCTATTATTTGGATATCATTTTGTGCTATACAAAATTTTTCAATTGTTATATTAGATTATGATAAAATATAATTAAATGTCTGTTCTCGATAGCATTGGTGACGTTAAAAAGTATGATGATGAGCGGGATGTCTTTAATAATTTCTATGATGATGCTGAAATTTGGAAAAAGTGGTGGAGGCGGTGGTCCTTGGAAAGGAGGAGGTGGAGGAGGTAAAATTTTCGTTTTTATTCCATCTATTGTGTCTAATTCGCGTTAAAATCTAAATGCAATACATTTTTTTTACTACTAATGCCCTACTAATAGATTTTAATAATCATAAATCCCGAATTTTAATATCTACAATATAAAAAATCAATATATAAGAATAATCTTTTGACGGTAATCATGAATAACTTAAAATTAAGTAATACTTTTATTAATATATTAAATATTTAACATGATGTCGTGACGTGTTTTCAGACCTCAAAGAGATCGTACTTCTTACAAAATCCTCGGACGGTGGCGGAGGTGGTTGTTGTGGTGGAGGACATGGCGGCGATAGTTATGGTGCACCTCCATCAAGTAGTTACGGCCCACCTTCAGGAGGAGGCGGCGGTTACGGCGGAGGTGGATGGGGTCGTAGTTTCAACAAACAGCCGATGCTATACAGCAAAAAGACTAGGACGGAAATCGCAAACGGATCTAATCAAATTCCGATGAATGGAGAAGTTATAACAAACACAAAAAATGTTGATTACTTGGATTATCAAGATTATCAAGAACCATCATCAGTTATAAACTCAGATCCCATGACTTCTAAATGGAACGCATCAAGCTACACCGTCTTTCACGAATATAAGGGCACGAATATAAGTACCGGTTCGGAAAAGAATAATTTAAGATTAGAACCAACAATGAATGTGAAAGGAAGAAATTTCATTTTCAACGAGACTCCACCTAGTACTGTCAACGTAATTGAAAAAAATACTAATTTAATGACAATCACAAATCAATCTGACGTTAATTACGACACAGACACAACGTATATGGATGAATGGCAAGCTATAGCTGAAAAAACAAAGTCTAATAATGATTTTTCAAAAAATTCAAATGCAGAAATACAAAAAACTGAGTTGCGGTCTAAGAATATATCTTTATTACATAAAATATAGATGATCAGTTATTAATTATATTACTATAAACATTTTTCAATAAAGTATACTTTAACTGTCACACAATTTTTGATAAAATTATTCTACTAATAATATTTCAAATACTTTTTGTAAGAAATAATTTAAAATAAAAATAATTTTAAAAAACGTGAAAATAAGTTTAAAAGATAAGTTTAATACAAAGTCTTTTTTTACAAAAATATATTATTTTTATTCATTTAGTTTAATCTTATATAACAAAATTAATTAAATTAGATATGTAGAAAAAATTTAATATTGTTGTAAAAATTTTTATTAATTTTTTGTTTGCAAAATAGTGGCGCAATCTTTCGAAGAGTCTTCCAAGCTTCTTTCTATTACTTTCTAGTAAGTAACTGACCTTGAATGTTGCCTTGAATGTTGAAGTATATGGAATCCATTTTATCGGGTACACCTGGTATACCGATTGAGAAGTTTCAGCACGAAGAACACTGACACTAGGTGTCGAAAGCTATTCCTATAATCAATAGTCATATTTAAGATTGAACAGATGCATATACGGATTGCCTTAAAGAACAGTTAAAACTATTCACGAGTCATAACGGTTTGTTTCTTGCGTCATATTCCATGAACATTTTTATTTTACCGCTTATATTTCTTCTATATGTTTTTGAATATAATATTAATTTTTAAATATCAATGAATTTTGTTGTGCAATTTATTAATTTATTCAACCTTTTTTTAACACATTCAGTCTTTTGACAAGTAGAAATTTTTCAAAATTAACCATAAAATGAAATATTGCAAAATAAGAAATTTGATGTATTATTTCAAGAAACTTTCCAATTTGTTAAAATAATTTTATTAAGTAAAATTAATACAAAAGTTCAGAAAAATTAATACAAGATGAAAAATAAGGACGTTTTTATAAATATGTAGATCTCGCGTTAATTAATTTTAAAAGAATTTGTTAAAGTATTATTTCAAGCCAACTCTATATTAGATGATACATCTTTGCATCAATTTAATATTTAATTTTGTTTTTTATTCAATTTCATTATCTGAATTAAATTTGTACTTGATAAATATTACACACGAAATTCTTAAGTCCTATACGGTTTTTACTCGTTCAATGATCGACCTACATTGACCGACTCTATTTGAGACTCACGACACGTAGTCTTTTCGGTAGCAACGCGATCTGATTCGAAAAGAGAAACGGTAGACGGATTTGTCAGTCTTTGCTGTGGACGGTATGCGAGCGTGTGCGTTTATGGTTGCGCATTTGATTTTCTCGGGGCGCTCTCCTTTAGTTTCTTTGGTGAAGGAAGCGTCTATTTGAACTGTGAGCTTATCTGTCAATCACCGTTAGGTAACCTACTGATCAACAGGATGCCGATGCTTCGTTACCATTCGCAATTGATCGGGAAAATTGGTGAAAGTGTTCATGCCGCCCGATAAAAGGAAGGCTTCCACTGTTCCGGAAGTAGGTGCAACGCGCAATTCTGCGCCCGAGGGTCCGATCACTTTCCTATGTTACCGCACTTCAGAATAGATCGATAAAAGATCTACGCAATAATGATATTAATTTTCTATCAAAACTTATTATTATTATTATTATTGGAACAACATTCATAATCCTTCGGAAATAAATAAAAATTAAGAAATATTTTTATTTAATTCTTTTACAAAGATAATAAAAGATATAAATAAAGATATCGCAGGAAAAATTATTTCTAAGAAAATTCAATATTTTAAAAATTCTTATAATTTTTATTTATGCTAATATTAGTTATAAACGTGTCTTTTGTTTTTGTTCTTAATATTTATTTCCGTGTACATATTTCATACAATATTTCCGCTCATCACTTGCTCATCTGTTTGGGAAGTTTGTCACAAAAGCCGAAAGCCATTTCCCTGTTTTTAGTTGACGTAACGGAAATTGTACAGCAATCTACGTCTGCATAATATGAGGCAATTCATAGTATGCTGTTTGTTCCGTCAGAAACGGTGCGATAATACTGTATTCGCATGTCTTTGATTTGTTGCAAAAAGTAGGAGATAGGTAAGTGGGTGAATAAGTGTTGTCACTCTTCGTTAAGGAACGAGAATAAAAAAGTTATGATTGACACTTTGACAGTGATGACAGTTAAGCTTTTATCAATTCTTAACTGTAATATCTTCTTTATATTATAATTCTAATGTATGATTAATTTAAGATACATCATTATTCGATTTAAAAACGCGTAACAAAAACGCATAACAAAACATATCTTGAATCATTCTTATAAATAAAACGCTCATTAAAAAATGATTTGAGACGCAATAACCATGTCTTATAGCAAAAAGTAAAAAAAATTTCTAAGAGACTTTAGTTTGTTAGCGGAAAAATCATAAACTTTTTGAACCTTGTAATTATCAGTTACCATATAATATATTTTTTTTAGTGTTAAAACTTGCATTTTTTGCTCACCCAATATGTGGCATGTCCCAGTTGCTTGGTTCACTTTGTACCGCACGTACAAACCAGTTTCGATGCACCGCAGACAAATACTTTCCGTCTTTTGGAACGTCTGTTATCGCTATTGAAGTTTACATTTCTGCTTTATATTGGCAATTTCTAGCTATGTCTGTAACTCAAAATACTTTCTAATACACAATCATGAGCGACTGGCACATCTCGAGTAATCCGCCACAGTCAGACCGGCACAAATTGCTTCCTTCTGAGATCGAGATCGTTTAGATACAATAATAATTAAAAAAAACAGAGAGATTGGAGAGATTTATGGATACAGCAATTATTACTGAAATTACGAAATTATTAAATTAAATTTTATTTTGGAAATATGATTTACCTAATGTCACAATGTAAATAATAATTCTTAAGAAAGATCAAGATATTTTTAGAAATGGAACATTCGTGCTGTAAATTATCGGAGGAAAAAGGGGAATAAATTCTGTAAATGATTTATTTTTGGTTATTGCATTTATTTTTATTATCTAATTAATGGTAGAGCAAATAAATGTATAGTATTTACATTGTACAAGTAAAATAAAGTTAATACATATAATGAGTATAATAAATATTTCACACGCGAGTTTCTCTTTAAATAATGGCATCACTCAAAGCTGAAAGCACGCAAAGCACCTTAATAATATTGTTGTCTTCACTTCCACGAAATGGAAAAGTAATCTAGTAATCTTGTCGCGCGCGTTTAATAAAATTATGACCAAGACGTAACTGGGTTACGCTGGAATGTTGAACGAGCCCCTTGTTCCTCCATGGGTATCGAGAGCTCGAAAGAGGTGAGATAAAATAAGAGACTGTACGTGCCTGCGTGCACGTTGTATTTTATATTCATCAACGGAGGCAAGACGAATCTCCGCGGTGGAACGAAATCCCCAGTGTGGAATTCTGTCTCTGATGAATGCGTACGTTCGTACGATCGCTTTTCGGCAACGGATGCGTAAGCCGGTCATGTGCCTCAACCTACCTACCTACCTACCTAGCGCTTTTACATTAGTAGGTCAATGGAATTCATCCGGTCAAACTGTTTGTCCATTCGCTTGGTCCACCCAATCGTTTTGGTTGATGGCGCCTGAGAGACGCAATCTTTTAACAGGCTATCAATGGGTATCGATGTTCCACCACGTAACCTCCATTTTTTTTTAATTCAGATCAATTTGCGAAATGAATGTGCTACTTCCAAAACTCGTTTTTACATGCGAAATAGTGTACGTGTTCAAAAACATACACTTTACACTTAAAAAAATAAGCTGAATATTTAATATTTTGTTATATTTATTATTGTGTATTTTATTTATTATTAAATATTTAATAATATATTTATTAAATGTCAAAATTTTTGATATATCTTTATGTGTTATCTTTAAGTATTATATATGTCCAATTTAAAAGAAAGAAAGTGAATAGTGAAGAGAGGAAAGATTAAACATATTTTAATAAAATTTTATAATGCAAAAAAAATTGTTTAAGAAAAATTGAAAAATGTGTGGTTTTAAAATATTGTAAAATTTTTTATTCATCTAAATATTAAATTTATAATTATATGGATGTACAATATATGATACAAACATCTTTAATGATCATTACATTGCGTAATCGATGAATATTATTAGCGCTGAAGAAGATACGTCTAGCTGTCACTCAGGTATATTAGACATAGGTTGGATATGGATTCTATGCAACTCGGAATTGCTGGCTGGAATAAGGAGAACACCTTCACCAGGAATCTGTTAGTGAAAAGCGGTGGTGAGTACGAGAGAAATGTAGCAAGGTGATGTTTATTTGATAATGTTTTGCTGATACTGATGTGTATTAATAAAGATTATAAAGCAGGTTTTTAACCCGATCGATGAAACGACTTTTCTTCTAAACGCATCTAGTTACGTGATGAATAACATTATCTCGCAGAGTAAAAGTTTATTACAGCGTTAATGATCATTAAAGGCCTTTCAAAATATCACTTGTGTTGACATAATTTTTTACGCGCGTTATAATGATGCTCGCATAGCTCTTAGTATCATTACGCTTTAATACATAATATTATTCCAATGTAATTGGCAAGAAAATATGTATGACACGTATGTATGACACGATCTTGGTATGCGGATTAAACGATTCATTGTGAATCATTCATGGATGTCTTGTTACGTTCATTGATCTGAAAGAATATTTTTATTTATACTTTTACAAAATTTAAAATTTGAGATAATATAGTTTATATTAAATGAATAATAATTGTTTAACAATTTATAAACGTATTTTATTCAAAAGACATTTTGAACAATCTATATTCATAACCAATTACTCGGTGTTAATTGATAAAACATCATAAGAAATTATCATGTCTAATATGTGTCAGAGAAATCTTTGACAGTTTTCTCTGCCAAAAGACCGGAATACAATTTAATTAGAAAAATATATTTTATTTTTTTGATGCATACATTACCAAAATCTTTTTGCAAACAAATTGGAAAAAAAATGTATTTCAATTATTTATAATTATTATTTATTTGCATACATTCGTTATATATTTATATTTTAGATATTTTAAATTTATTATGTTCTAATAAATTATCTGTAAATCATGAAAATATAATTTTAATGTTTTTTTAATATTATAATATTACAATGAAATTAATTAATTTTTAATATTATAATAAAATAATACTTATAACTGCAGTTAATTAAAAAATCCAGTTATAATCCAGTTATTATAAGCGTCAATATAAGCGAAATAAGGAAGTTAAACTGGATTTGCAGCGGGATGGACAGCGGACTTATATATAATTTTGTAAAATGGCCAGCCATGCAACAGTAACCACATACTGTCTGCTTACGGGAAAATTTTTTGCTATCACCAGTTTTCAAAGAAACGGCTTATAAAAACTAATTGTAATTAACTTTTTATATATAAAACATCATTGCATATTTATTGGATATACGTAAACTTTTAATCTATACAATTTGTTATAATATGTAATAAAAATATAAAGAAAATTTTGCGCAATTTAATGAAACTTATGTAATTCTTCTCTAGAAGCATATTATGCTTGAGAAGCAATATTAAACAAAATTTTCAAATTATACTAATAAAATGATGCTATATACATGTATATTAAATTATAAATATAAGATATCAAAAATAAATGAAAAAATGAAAAAAAAAAAATAAATCTGTGTAAATCTATGTATTTTATTTTTTAATGTTTGTATGCTGTGTTCTAAAAGAAGAAAAATTCTAAAAGAATACTGGAGCAAACGTGATATTCATACTCGATCGGGAAAAAGCGTTTCCCGCTCTAACTAGTCCGAAACCCACGTCACTGCATATTTGTGTACCAAGTCAGGCCTGGAGCGGTCAGGAGCTGGACGATCTTAAACGTGCGCGTGTATGAGCACAGACCTGGTCGGTTGCAGTCCGAGAGGAGAGACGATAATGACCTTCCACGGAGGAGCTCGCCGACGGAGTAGGAGGGCCTTTGACACACTTGACGCTCGCAGGTGAATTGTAACCGAGAACGGAGAGGTTCGTGTGGTTAGTGTGAAGCGAGAGATTGAACGGAGCGCGTCTGAACGAGATAAAGAGAGAGAGAGAGAAAAAGGGTGGGAAAGACGAGACGGGTCAAAAGTGCACGGGGAACAAGTGATATATGACGATGGTGACGCGAATGATGATAGTCAGCGTGACGGTCGATGTCTGCGATGCAACGTGAGCGCCGGCGAGCAGAGCTTGCGTCGCGCTCGAGGACGCCTGTCGAGGACCCGAATCGCGGAGGAAGAAAAGGATTATCGATGTCGCTAAGTGGTGGTAAGAGGTCGCGGTAGAGTTTCGGCCAGGAAGAAGAGGGGAGGATCGGACATTTGAACAGCGAGATCTCCAATAAGTAGGAAGAGCGTGTGACGATCACGGGTAGATACCAAAGAATATACGACGTGCACGTGGACTAGTGGCGATGATCCTTTTGCGAAATCAAAAGTGCACCGGTTTCTAGTTACTAAACAAGTGGTTGGTGCTGCCGGTTGTGTTTTTATTCAGAGCGTGCAGTGCTTCCGGCACGCTACCTCACACTTCTGGTCATACGTAAACAAAAGTCAAATAAATTATATGCATATATATATATATATATTAAACGTAGTTAAATCTTCGAGCAAGTGATGCTGAAGATGTATCGGAGAACGACGTTGATCCTGCTGTGTCTTTCAATGACGCTATCGTACTCGGAGCTATTCAGTGCTGAAAAACTCAGGCTATACGCGAAGTTTTTGAAATTCGACAAGTTAAATATTAACGAAACCGGAAACGACCTCTGGCATGGACTCTTCAGGGACTGTAGCAAGAAGGTGACGTTTTCTTGCATACAGAAAAATGCGTATACATATCTCGACAATGCATTCATCGAGAGGGACAATATTACGATTTTCGACGGTCTAATACTTACGAAAAACAATGTTACTTATGACACGTGTCCTAATATAGATAATCCTAACGATGTTCGCGAGAATCTTGTGGATGACATCGACACAAATGATTGTGAAGATAAAACGGCCGAAGAAGCGGAAGCACAAGGTCGAAAGTTTGATGATGAATCACCACTTGAAGAGATTACGAACGCTCTGCGGCGAAAAACAGTAAAATTTTTGTCGACTCGTAATTATGAAATTCAACTTCCGCAGTTCTTCTTCGAGGGCGCAACGATGAAGATAAGCCCGCGCGAGATAGACGAAAATGGTGCTCTCCTCAGAGTAGATTTTGGAACTGACGGTGTACGAGAACAAGGACGAATTTTTAAAAAAATCAGTAAGGAAAATCAAATTCTTCAGTATTTATTATAGAATATTATGAATGGAAATTATAATATTTCTATTTTATTTTAGGAAAGTTTATACAGAATAAACTGTTAACCAGCTTTCTGGCTCTTCTGTTAATTATCAAGTTAATTAAAGTAAAGTTTTTATTTATAATTCCGTTCCTCTTTGGTGTGGGAACTGCCAAGAAACTTTTCCTAAAACTGCTGCTCTTCTTCATTCCCGCATTCGCCCATATCTTCAAGCTCTGCTCCAGCTATTATTCGAACCATGGCACCAAGTTTCATCATCATCATCATCAGGTACGCATGCGATCGCAGTTGCAGTTCTCTCATATAACATTTATATATCAATATTACATAATGTTAAAACAATATTAAATTCTTATTTCAGATAGCTCATCACCATCATCACGTGCCGGTTCCTGTAGCTATCCCAACGTATTACGAGCACCCTCATCACGATACCTTCGAGACTTTCTCCGATTATCCTCATAATATTCAGTACCGAAAGGATATGGAAGAGCTGAAGGAATGGGGTATTGAGCCTAACGAACCCTACGAGGAGTCCAGTCATCGTATAAATCGTGTAGTCCCAGCTCCGAGTTCAGTTTCGGGGCTTACGTACTCGGGCCCGTACGGATTGCCGCAATACGCGCCGAATATAAAACCAATTGCGTCATCTTATCTGGATAATTCGATCGCGGCTAGCGCTCATAATTTGGCCTACTCCGGATATCGAAGGCCCGTGGCGCAACCAAGTCCCGCCGCTGTACTTCCGGTAAATCCGGGCTTCATGCCCGGCCCAAAGGCACCGATAAAGAATCCCTACGCGGTGTTCGCTCCAAACATACGTCCGACTCACCATCAGATCCAGAGGCTCTTGACACCTGTCGCGAGCGTTAAAAGCTCGTCTATGTCGATCTCGCGGCAGGATACGGAGGACGAATATTACGGGCCGATAATCGCCCGGCTAGAGGACATCTTCACACAGCTGAGATTCCACGAGGAGACGTGTAGGGAAATGCTCGTTTGCAGCATGTACAAAAATCCGGCAAATTATTCGCCGCACAGTAATCTTGTGTCAAACGAACTCTCCAGGTATGAAATGCGGCAGCAACTATGCGGCTTATCGATTAAATCGCGCATCACAAAGAGAAAGGTAGAGATCGCCCGCGCGTTCCGAATCACGTTAATCGGGTCATGTTGGTTTCTCTCTCTTTTTCTCTCTCTCTCTCTCTTCTATCGTATTCTCTCTGTTCTCTTACTCTTCTTACCTTCGTTCTTAACGTACTTCTTCGTTTACTTCCGTTTAAACCGTTTTCCTTTAACCTTTCCGGGTTTAACCTTTTAACCTTAACCGGTTTAACCGGTTTAACCTTTACCGTTTAAACCTTTTCCGTTTAAACCGTTTTCCGTTTAACCTTTAACCGGTTAACCTTAACCGGTTTTAAACCGTAACCGGTTTTACCGTTACCGTTTAACCGTTTAACTACCCGTTTAAGGTTACCTTAACCGGTAACTTACGTCTACGTCTACGTACGAATTACGTACTAGTACGTCTCGTTAACGTACGTTACGTAACGTACGACGTTAACGTACGTACGTACGTACGTAACGTACGTACCTACGTTACGAACGTTACGTACGGTATACGGTTACAGTTACGGTACGTAATTCGGAAATTACCGGGTTACTAACGGTACTAACGGTACTACGGACGTACGTACGTACGTACGTTACGGAACGTTACGTACGTACGTCGTACGTACGTACGTACGTACGTACGTAGTACGTACGTACGTA